TATGCATAATGCACCTCCATCTCCGTTTAATGTATGCAGCACTTATAACTTTCCCGAAATTCTTGCATTTTTGAGGTTCTCCCAACTGAATCCGCTATTGGGTTCGAGTATATTTTTAATTCCAAAATTGTACTTTGATTCCAAATGAAAAAAATGATCGATATTGACTAGTGAATAGCAGCATTCCCAGTGGAATTGTTGAAGGGAAGGTGAGGCCAGCCCGAAACCGTGGTCAAGTTTGAGTGGGAAAGCCTTTTGGGACATGTGGCAACAAGAGCCTTACTAGCATCGGGAGGTCTACTCATATCATAGGGCAACCCTACTTAGTCTTGGCTGACTTGAGCTCTTACAAAAGCTGTTCTTATAGCTTGGAAACCAGATGATATGCTAACCTTCGGCTTTTGCACTCATACGTTCTGGGCTCGATCCAATGCGAGCCAAGAATGTTGCACAGTTCACATGCGAATGTAGTAAACTGTGCTAAAAGTAGGCCTTTCGGCCCACAGACTCGGTTACGACAATAAGCTAAGTTGACATTCACGACATTTATATACTTTTTTATTAGCTAATATAAGCCCTTTTGCTTTTCTGTTTGGCCATAAAGTGTGTATTAGTTGAATTCATTTTTTACAACTTCACAAATCATCCAAAAAAGTAGGTTGACTCAAAAAGCTTTGGGCGTCAATTATTACACTTCTGCCCGGTAAACGCTGAAAAATGAGTACAAAGCGGTATTTTTGACAATATCCCCAAGGGTAGGCATGCAAATGATTCTCGAAGTCTTTGAATGGGATCAGAACGGAGACTTTATTCTCCAGCACAACTTGAAGGCACAACATTTAGGGAGGGGAAAATCGCAAGTTTTGTGGCCAGACGTCATGATCGAGCAAGCTCGGCGACTTATAGGCCTTCCAGGACAAGCACGAACTCGTTGTCAGCCTGGAAAAAGGAGTTAACTAAATTTCTCACGTTCCCATCATCACCATCTCCTTTGCTCGCACCTCAGCTTCTCTGATCCACTCCGTTCCTGGTCCCCTCAGCGTTCACTCCTTCCCTTGACCAAACGCACACGCATGGAAATATAGACGCACCTGCTTGGACCCGAACAAGATGGCCATTTTTTCACACCATCCGCATGCACGACTGGACCCCAGTCAGCAAAGATTTGGACAGCCTCTCAGCTCAACATCCCATGTCTAAAATATGTGCATGCAGTTGAGCCTCGAATATGCATGTCAAGTTGTTAATAAATAACTACGCATTGGTACCGACACAGAGGCACGCACACAACATATAAAGGTAAGATTTAATCCTTCAATCAATAGGTTCGTTGCTTTGTCCGTCTCTTTGCGCGTATCTACAGCAGGACTCACGGAACTCGGTAGGGCAAGGTGGTAATTGCGGAGGTAACAAAAATGCAGAGGCAACAGACGTGGTGATGCAACCCTTTTTGAGGAAGAGGGTCAAGTCACTTTTGGTGCTTTAGTGGAGGCAGTGCAACTGGTTGTTGGTTTTGTGAATGGAATTAGGTCTCAACTTCAACACATTCAAGTGCCGATGTTGAGGCTGTCCTTTTTGGCAGAAGACTTTGTGTTTACTGATGGGACTCGGCCCCCAGAATTCTCTGATTTGCCCTCGACCGGTGGCCAGTTTTGTGTTGAATATTCAGTTTGAGGATCAAGAGCTGGAGCTGTACTTATCACTCTTAGATGAGATTCGGGATGCTGCTATGACACGTCATTCCTCGAATGTTGAGGTTGAAATTGGCACCTATTCTAGCCACGAACTGGAAATGAACAGGCTTGATTAAGGATCCGAAAAGACTAACATCATTCAGGACAGAATGTCGTCATGGCATTAAATGGGTCATATCAGCAGACACAACAGGACTCTAAATCTGCTTAGACATAGGAAGAAAAGTTGAGTTAAAAGAAGTAACTTGGTCTACACTTGTTAGGCTCACTTTCACTTACAGCAGATTTATGTGCTGAAGGGATATGAAGAA